AAAAAAAAACTTTTCTATACTAAAAAATCGCCATCACCAATATCTAATATGTTGTAGAGCAAAAAATTCTACACAAAATATGTTTTTTCTAAAAAATTTAAAAACAGGTTTTTTTTTTCTATGTTTCTTTGAAGTATTATTTTTACTATATCTATGCGATTTTTTATCAGAATTAAAAATGAGAAATCTAATAAATATAAAAATTGTTAAATTCTATTAAGGACAGGCTAAATTACATGTCTGCAAAGTTAAGGATGTCAAGCAGCGACTTGGTAAATTTTGCAACTATGAGGCGTTGTAAATTGGCGGGGAATTCACTTTTCCAGGTTTTTTTTTTTTCGGCTTCCTGTATACTGGTCTAGACTCTACAAATTAGCAAAATTTGAGATACGAAGGGAAAAAAGTGTACGATCTGGCATGATATAGCCCATAAATATTCTTTGAAAAAGAAGTGTTACTGCAATAGGCAATATAATTAAAATAAAAAAAAGTGATGAAAACTTTTAGTGATTGTTCAATCTCCTCTTCCAAGTAATCACTGTCTTTGCGAAGTTTATGCTGGTCATATTGAAGCGACTGGATACTACTCTGAGAATTGGGTTGAATGCTTCCTCGGTGTTTCTCAAGAGCCGCTTTTGCTTGATTCCGGATTTTAGTTCTTAAAACACCGGGTAGATGCTCACTCACCAGCAGTCGCCTTGATGAAGATGCAGTAGAAGACGCCGGGCTAAATTAGGATCAAATCATATTGTTTAAAAGACTAGCACAACTAATGTTTATTGACGTTATCATTTAGCATTTTCCTAACACAATTATTTTTTGATTACATATTATCAAAGGAATTTTTCGAAAAGAGCGAATCTGTATAACAGCATCTTTCAGTCTAGATAATTTGCTAAAAAAATCATAAACTGATTTTTCAGTGTTTTCCAGTCATTAAACTAACAACAATACTTGACAGACTTGTTAAGATCCAAAAATGTTCTTTAAAAAAATAATAATAATAATTTCACAGAAGAGAAGCTGCGCCCTTTTGAATACTTTATTTATCAAAATCAGCGATTTGAAGTTCCATAAACACGAACTAATTTGCAGGCTGCCGCAAAACTTCTCTGTTATTAAAATTGATAAAAACTTTCACTTTTTACCTCCATAAAACGTCTTCAGAGGATTTTGCATCAGAAGCTGCATCATCTGACAAGTTAATCTGCAATTATTTAATCGGCCTAATGTAACGTATTTTCGCAGTTTTATAATATAAGCACGCTTCTGCAGCTAAAACTCTACAGCATTTTGACAAGAAAAAAAGGTATTACGCCAAAAAACAGATTTAATAAGTATGATTTTCAGAGCAGAATACACTGGCTGTAACCTCAGAATTCGACGGAATCCTGCTCAGTGGATCAACATTAATTGTTACTGATGCAATCTTTGAACGCGCCACACGTGCACCCGAAGCATCTGACATTGACCTATCGTTATTCTCAGTTACCGAGTTTTTTGAACTGAGCTCTTCCTCAGCACTCCTCGTTTCTCCCTGATTCGATTCCATTTAGATGACTGATGCGCAAAGCCGATACAAACTAAAAATT